GAGAGAGTCCAGCGCAGGGCTACCAGGATGATCAGGGGCCTGGAACATCTGCCCTGTGAGCAAAGGCTGAGRSAGCTGGGCCTGYYYAKCCTGGAGAAGAGRAGGCTGAGGGGGGACCTGATCAGTGTCTATAGATACCTCAAGGGAGGCAGTGAGGAGGAGGGGGCGGCCTCTTTTCAGTGGGGGCCAGCGACAGGACTAGAGGAACCGGCCACAGGCTGAGGCACCAAAAGTTCCACAGGAACTTAAGGAAACATTTCTTAACAGTGAGGGTGCCAGAGCCCTGGAACAGGCTGCCGGGAGAGGTTGTGGAGTCTCCTTCTGTGGAGATCTTTACAACCCACTTGGATGCAGCCCTGTGCCACGTGCTCTGGGTGACCCTGCGTGTGCAGGGGGTTGGACTAGATGACCTCTGAGGTCCCTTCCAACCTTAAGTGTTCTATGATCCTGTGATTCCCCTCCCACGCTTCCTCCCAATTAAGGAGCTGGCAGAGGCTGCAGGCAGCAGCGCTGGCGCCCAGCTGCCTCGGCCAGTGCCCGGCTGCCTCGGCGAGCGCCGAGGGGCAGCCCCAAACGCCCGGGCGCTGCAGCGCTGCCTGGCGCTGCCCAGGCCCTTCGCCTCCCTGGGCTGCTGCTCGGCGGCTGCTCATGCTGGAAGAATTAACTACCGACAAGCCCAAGAAGCTGGAAAATCAGAACTATCTATTTCCATAGCTGTTTATGTACATACTATTTAAGCTACAACTTCCCTATCAGCTGATTCTTATTAGGAGTCTTAATCAGGTAAACTGATGTTTCAATTTTTTTGATATCCAGTCCTTGGAAGCTGTGTGGCTAGAAGAGGCGCCTGTAAAAGCATCCAACACCTATGCAGCTTCATGATTCAAGCACGAGGAGAAAAGCCCTGCGCAGCAGTGACACTTAGAAAGGAATGCATGCCACTCCGAAGAAATTTGAAAAGGGTGATTTTTAAAAAGGGGTCCTATTAAATGACAGGGAAACATTCTGCCCATCAAAAAAAACCCTTCAAGTCAGCCTACGAAAGCCAGAGATATCAAAGAGAAGAATCTTTGAGCGATTAAAGCGAGGAACAAACAAACAAAAAAGGACACGGGATGGGCAACTGTTTGCTGAAGACATGAAAGTTAAAAGCACAGAAAATCATTTTCCAAAACACACCAAAATAAAGTCTTTGAAAATCTGTGGGTGGACAAATGATCAAATAGTAACCACAATTTAGGGATTTCTTCAGCAGTTGTCTCTGTTGAAAGGAAAATATTCTTCAGTGATCCACAAGAAAGCAAACGACACTTCAAGACAACAGCCTGCTATTAATCAGATAGCTCTATTTGATTAGACAAGTGACTCGTGAGCTGGAAGGACCTCGAAACTACTGAAAAAATGGGCAATAAAAAGAATAAACCTTGAGAAGTACAAAACAATGCCCACAGAAATGCTAATCATATTTCCATACAAATAAACAAATTTATAATTTATTATAGTTTTGTGTAGACTCTGAAAACATCAGTTCAAGTCAGGCTACAATCAGAAGGGAATATGAAGTTATTCAAAAATAAAAAGGAGATCATAAAATATCAATATATTATCTTAATGGATACAAAAATCACACACATCAAGTTCAAGATGCAGCTGCGATCATCTTCCCTTTTCCAAAATAAAGGAATCAAAATAGGGAAACCTAGGAAAGGATGAGGAAAGGCACTGTTTTTTCACCATGCAAAGCGCACATGCATAATATAATCTTTTATTACACTAAATTTATTTATAATTTTATGTATAAATGTATTATATAGTTAATCTATGCAACAATCTATAATAGTTTGTCTATACAACAAGCTTTGGACACAAACAGAAGAACTATTTCCAGATTTGACATTTCAGCCGTAGAAGCCACTGTGTCTCAGTAAATTGCAAAGTATAATTTATTTGCGAACTGCTACCGTGGCATCATCAAGTTCAGAAAGGCTTAACCGAGTTCCTGGAAGAAACGAAGCATGGGCTATTAAGCTCGGCCTAGGGCAGGCAGCTGCAGCTCAGGCCCTAGCTTCCAACTAGCTCCTAGAAGGATACACAAATCCACACACACAGTGCTGCTCACACCGTCTCCCCGGGCAGCTGCTCACGGGGACACCAGCCCCGGCACACAGTACACAGGCTGGTAGACCTGTTGTCAGTTACTGAACGCGCCTCATGCGACTGCAAAGTTGAGCGGAGCGACAGCAAACGCGGGCGCCCGTTGAGCGCCCTCAGGGGCAAAGCGGAGGGTCCTGCTGCGGAGGCGAGGCTGCCCTGCTGGGTAAGAGATGTGCCCAAGGGCCGGGCAGCGCAAAGGGCAGGAGCACAGCAAGGCTCCTGTGCCCAGGGAGGCGCGCAAGCTGCCGTGGGCACACGTCCCACGCAGCGATTGCTATTAAGGCTTGTTTCAATGTCCCCTTTCTACTGTACTTTTAATATATGCCAGGACACACAGCTAGGCTCACAACTATAAGGCTGGGATGGTTCTGTATTTGTTGAACACTCTGAGAAAAGTCACAAAAAAATGTCAGCGCAGACTATTAAGATATCCATCCATTTTGAAAACCATAACTTCAACCTAGTTATTAGTTAGGTAATAGTTGCATTTTCTTTGGACCTAACAAGAGCTGTAATCAAATACAGAATTCATAGTTAAAAAGTTTGTGAAATCTAAGAAGTTTATGATCAGTATAGTCAAGATGTTGAACATTCAAGAATATTAAAACCAGATACTTCACCCCTAGCATTAGTTGAACATATTTAAATACCAACAGTTCTTTCCCCAAACACACTATTAGTTCCAGATATCTTTGTCTAAAACCATCTGCTTCAGAGCTACAAGAACTGGGAAAAAATAAATAAATAAAGCAAGATTTATTGAATATACTTGCACTTTCCAATTCCACAATTTATGCACTGGCTGACTTTGCAAAGTAATCCTGAAGTTGTTGGGTGGTTGTTTTTTTTTTTTTTTTTGTTCTTTTTTTTTTTCCCCTCCTCTCTCCTTTCTCTTTCTCTCTCTTCTCTCCATTAAAAATTGAAAACAAAACCCATGAACTACTCACCTCTGGCTGAATTGCTTTAAATACAGGGACATCCATTAGTGTTATCTGACCCTGAAATAAAAAGACAAAAAAGTTAAGCTCAAAACTAGCCTTGTTACTATGCAGCACAGCACCTTAACGTAACCACTGTAGGTGTTTCCTCTATTTCACTATTTCAGATTTTTTTGGTAACTAGTTTCAGAGCTTACAGCTCAACTCAGAGCTGCCCAGCGCAAAAGAATCAAGTACTGAGAACTTCAATTAATTACGAGAAACTTTTCACGAGCACAGTCTCACAGTTCCACAGACAAGTCAGTTTTCTTTTGGAAATATTGCAGAGGAAACTATGGGAAGTAATTTCAGTTGCTCAAAGTTCCTCTTAAAACTCTCAGTCTTATTCTACATAATGTAAAATTTTGTTGAAATATTCCTACAATTTTCCAGTCTTTATGTCTGTATTTGAAGCACAGGAACCAGCAAGTAAGTAATTGTTCAGCTGCACAGCAACAGAAAGCTACAGCTATTTTATCTGCAAGGAATCAGAACTAACAAGTATTTTTAAATTGAGGGTGTGTTTAGCTTTAGGACAGTAAGCAAAGGTGAACTCAAATCACTTTATTTAAAAAACTAAAAAGCTTTGCCTTTTGAAAAGTATTCGCAGTCTTAGTTGAAGCATAGAACTTAGGATTCCTGTCTGCCTGTAGGCAAAGGAAAGAAATGATCTCTTTCAAAGAGAACACAGGCAGCCCAGAAAGACCTGTGCCACTTGACACGGGCTTTGCAATTCCCTTCTAACACTGAACCCAGGGATCTTTTTGGTTTCCTCAGAGGCAAGTTGCATAGATATTGTCCTGCATCCTTGAAAACTGCAGTTCCTCCCTTTATTGGCTCTGCAGGAGATGCTGACAGCTTTGTAACTCTCACAACCTAATGCCCACTGATTGCCATAGAAAAATAGCTTCTGAGATGATGCCAATTTCACAAAAAAAATGAGAAAACACACACACACACACACACTGTGATTCTCTAGCTGAAGTAAAGCAAGTGTAAGAACAAATACTCTGACAAAACAAGCAATGTGCTCATTCAAACAAGAGAAAAACCTGTACTTCGTAGCAGAGCTGTTGACATCATTTGGGCAATCAAATGTGTTGAAATTACACCAATCAGTAGCATTTTCTGTAACCAGCACGCTGATGTGATTTGCTATTCTTTTGGGGGAGAAAACCACCTATTTTGCCACCAGAGCTCTCTGGAAGCGCTGCTTCCCCGGGAAAGCACGGCCGAGGTGCCGCGGCGTCCTCTCCAAGCCGCACGTCTCACCTTTCGTCACCAGCTTGGGCCTCAGCAGAGCGCTCTAAGCAGCTATTTTACAATCCCCTATCTCAGGCTGAAGTGAAACTAGATCAGACTCATTAAATGAAATCACAGAGATAACAACATGCACCAACATACACCCACAAATAGGCTTATCTGGACATCTTTTTTTTTTTTTTTTGTAGCAGTAAGTCCTGTACAGAAAATTTTACATAACCAGAACATTCTTGGTCCTCTAACACGAATTGCCAAATACGTGCTATGAGGTAGACGATTTATATGTACAGTTTATTAATATCCAGAGAATATTTAAATGCCAGCTTAAAAATTAAGGACCAGAAGGACCTATTTTTTTTTTTTTTATATTTTAAAAAGGTGGTTTAACAACCAATCAACCAGAATACCAATCTCCCGGGAATAGGTGGTATTGTATCTCAATTTTTTAAATAAGGTCAAGCATTTCAGATGGTTAAATGCCTAAGTTCGAGTCAACAACCGATAAGAACATCAAGTCAGGGATATGAAGGTGGTCCAAAATATTCTTTGCCTCCAATTTTTCTGTTCCCTTGTATCCATTGCAACTACAGGAAAAAAATGCAACAACTCTCTGCCAAAAACTGAAGATTGCTTTCAAATTAAAAACAAACACATTGACTGAAAAGGTTCTATTCTTCCATTATAATTACTAGGAGGCATAATAAAAGTTGACTTGATCTTGGAAGAAATAAATGTTTCGCCCAGACACCACAATCCTGATGGTGTAGCAGTACACCATATTTGAGACATTTAAGGATCTTTAGATGAATGGAATAGGAAAGACACTGCTCGAGTGGTGAAGGACACCTAACAGGGACAGAGAAAGAACAGCAAGGGTAGGTTAACCTTGTTTAACCTTGACAAACACTCATGCATGTTGATGACTAGCAGCATTCAAGTACCAGCTCTCCCCATTAAACAAAATAGCAACATTACCCTCAAAAACAAAGCAGAAAACTCATTTGTTGTTCATACAAACTGCAGGAGAGCAAAGGCTAGGAAATAAGTGCTGTTACTTTCCGGCTCTCCAATATTTCTTCTTGAGTTGAACTGTCTTAGTTAAATTAGAAAAACATCCACCTGAATACTGACTACAGATCACTACTTCAGTACAGGATTTAATACCAAATAGTTATGGAAAACGGACTTCTGTAATAACTGCACAGCAGAATTCACACATCTCAGAATTCACGAAATCCCTGAACAGTTGAGGTTGGAAGGGACCCTAGAGACCATCCAGTCCAACGCCCTGCTGCAGCAGGGACACCCAGAGCAGGGGGCACCCGGTCACATCCAGGCGGGATGGGGAGATCTCCAGAGCAGGAGCCTCCCCAGCCTCCCTGGGCAGCCTGGGCCAGGGCTCGGGCACCCTCACACCAAGCAAGTTCTTCCCCACACGCAGATGGAGCTGCCTGGGGTTCAGCTTGTCCCCATTGCCCCCTGTCCTGGCACTGGCCACCACCGAGGAGAGTTCGGCCCCTTCCTCCCTACATTCACCCTTTGGGTGCTTAGACAGGTGATTAGGCCCCCTCTCAACCTTCTCTTCTCACAACAGGACACACTTCAAAGTCCTCAAAAGCGGACTTCTCCAAAAGGACATATATTTTAAGGTTAATATTGAGAAAGATTATGCAAACGACAAATTCAGGATTAACATTTAATAATTAAATATACAGTAATATTAATAATAGATTTTTCAATTGATATTAATATACATAGGATTATACACAAATAAAGCGAGACTGCTAAAAGTATGGTGAGTTTTTAACAAAGAAGCTTCTTCTAGCATTGTATATTAGACTGTGGGCTGTTCATCTGGTTTCAGACATTGCTTTCACTAAAAGCAATACCCTTCGTCAGTAACACTGTACTATATTGTCACTTTTTTGAGGAATATCTTTTAGGGAGGTCCACTTCTTCAGCCTCTTGCCATTTTTATTAAGAGTTACCACGATCTGAGAATTTTTTTCTGATTCAAAACCCTAATTTTATGGACACAAAGCCATTTTGCTTTGCACATGTGACACTGTCTCGCTTAAGAGCCTCCTGACCACAGGAGGCTCTGACTACAGGCCTCCTGACCAGGACAAGGAAGTGGACGAAGCCTTCTACGGGCAGCTGCGGGAAGCCTCCCGATCACAGGCCCTGGTCCTCCTGGGGAACTTCAACCACCCTGATATCTGCTGGGAAAACCACGTAGCCAGGAACAGACAGTCCAGGAGGTTCCTGCAGAACATTGCAGATAACTTCTTGATGCAGGTGGTTGAGGAGCCAACAAGGGGAAGGGCACTGCTAGACCTGATACTAACAAACAGAGATGGTCTAGTGGGAGACGTGAGGGTTGGGGGCAGTCTGGGCTGCAGCGACCACGAGATGTTGGAATTCACGATCCGGCGTGGAGGAAGTGGGGTGAGAAGTAGGATAGCTACCCTGGACTTCAAGAGAGCCAACTTCGACCTCTTCAGGAAGCTCCTTGGAGCAGTCCCCTGGGTCAGGGCCCTAGAAGGAAAGGGGGTCCAGAAGAGCTGACTGATATTCAAGCACCACTTCCTCCAAGCTCAGGATCAGTGCATTCCCACAAAAAAAGTCGAGTAAGCGGGGCAGGAGACCTGTATGGATGGGTAAGGAATTACTGGGTGTACAGCTTGTGGAAGAAGGGACAGGCCACATGGGAGGAATACAGGCACATCGTCAGACAATGCAGATGCGAAATGAGGAAGGCCAAAGCCCGGGTGGAATTAGAGTTGGCGAGGCATGTCAGGGACAACAGGAAGGGTTTCTGTAAGTATGTCAACAGCAAGAGGAAGACGAGGGAAAATGTTAGTGCACTGCTGAATGGAGAAGGGGCCTTGGTGACGGAGAATGCCGAGAAGGCAGAGGTACTAAATGCCTTCTTTGCCTCTGTCTTTACTGCTAAGGCGACCCCCCATGAGCTGCAGGGCTCCAGTAGAAGAGATATAAATGGGCTAAAGGAAGACCTTCCGTGGGTTGAGAAGGATTGGGTTAGGGATCACTTAGGCAAACTGGCCACTCCAAAATCTATGGGCCCAGATGGGATGCACCCAAGAGTGCTGAGGGAACTGGCCGAGGTTATTGCTCAGCCTCTCTCCATCATCTTTGAGAGGTCCTGGAGAGCAGGGGAGGTGCCCGAGGACTGGAAGAGAGCCAACGTCACTCCAGTCTTCAAAAAGGGCAAGAGGGAGGAGCCAGGCAATTACAGGCCGGTCAGCCTCACCTCTGTCCCTGGAAAGGTGATGGAGCGGTTCATCCTAGAGAGAATCTCCGGGCACATGGCGGAGAAGAAGCTGTTGAGGAGCAGTCAGCAGGGATTCACCAAGGGGAAGTCATGTCTGACGAACCTCATAGCCTTCTATGATGAGATGACAGGCTGGCTGGACGAGGGGAGAGCCGTGGACGTTGTCTACCTTGACTTCAGCAAGGCTTTTGACACCGTCTCCCATAATATCCTCATACGGAAGCTCCAGGAGAGTGGGCTAGATGAGTGCACGGTGCGGTGGATCGAGGGCTGGCTGGATGGCAGAGCTCAGAGGGTGGTCATAAATGGGGCCGAGTCCAGCTGGAGGCCTGTGGCCAGTGGTGTCCCCCAGGGGTCAGTACTGGGCCCGGTGCTCTTCAATTTGTTCATCAATGACCTGGACGAGGGCACGGAGTGCACCCTGAGCAAGTTTGCAGATGACACCAAGCTGGGTGGAGTGGCC